CTCTCTCTCTCTCTCTCTCTCTCTTTCTCTCTCTCTCTCTCTGTGTGTGGGGGGGGGCGTGTGTATGTGAGTAGAGGGGGAGAGTGGAAGAGAGTGTTACTGCAGAGAGAGAGACACAAAAACGATATTCCATGCTAAAAATGTTTGGCTATTTTAACCTATATTATGACATGGCATTCAGCCAAAACGGGGGACGACTATGCCGAGTCATTACACTTCTATGCGCATGCGCGGCTTTCCATAATTCATGAGACACAGTAAAGTTACGCAGTAAGTATAATGCAAAAAGTTTGCATGTTTTATATGTACTACAATATAATGATTTACGAGATATATAAAGTAATGAACGGAGAATAAAGGGAACCTGTAGAGCTGCAACGAAGTATAAATGCACACGGTTTCACAACGTGCGATTCAGTTACCATCTCTATATTACTATATTCAGTTAATTAGATCTCTATATTGAACTAACTTTGGTATATAGAGATCAGTGGTTACCACACGACATAAGAGAACAGTTTGAAGATGGCTCATAACTTGGCGGATCAGCTTGTAAAGATGACTTGTAGGAGCGAAATGAGAGCAGTATATGAAGAGCTTATTTGCAAAACTGCCTATGACCATTTTGGAGAAATGAGAGAAAACGACAAAAACAATTATTTATGATGGGTCTTTTAAGCATGATGTAGGCTGTTTAAGCATGATGTACGCTGTTTAAGCATGATGTAGGCTGTTTAAGCATGATGTAAGCAGTTTTTCAAGAAAAAAAAGTACTCTACATGGTACCTATGTTCACATAGCATACATTGGTGGTTTAAATTTATTTTTGAAAAAAACGGACATAGGCAGTTTTGCAAATAAGCTCTTCATATATATGTATATATATATACCCATGCATTTTGGCATCTGTTGGTACATGATGCGTGCGCCGCTCCAGGCCGCCCACGTCTGGTCCATGACCTCGTCGTTTGCTTCCGGTAGTAACTTGTATCCGGCGATTAAGAACGCCGTGGTTTGATTGGACGGTTTTCTTGGCTCGCGAGCGACCTCTGGTGTAGCAGTCGTCGCCAGCTCCATGAAGGTACCTGAGACAGAAATATCGGCTTTTATTGAATATCGATTTTTTACCGATCGATCTTGACTTATTGATTTAATTTCTATTTCCCCCAGTTGTCAGTTTTTCACGCGCGACTGCGCGTGACTACTAACTTCTAATACTGTCGGACGCAAATGATGTAGACTTAGGTATATGATATTCGTAACGTCAGCACCCCATTTACGATTCATGTAAAACCGGAACATACGCGTTTATAGATGTATTTGACAACCATACTCCTGATTATATGGAATAGACCCATCCGTAGCTTGTAATCCCTTGTCTGCGTGGGAATAACAGCTCTGTATTAAAAAGTGATGAGAAGAAATGAAAGTGCCGTGGGCAAAAAAAGGCTGAGTACTTATTTCTACCTATATTGTGTTTCTGACTTTTGTCAAAGGCAAAGTTATAGGCGTCGGAGTAAGTCGCCGTTACATCTTTGATGAGATCTTTAAGGTTCGATTTCGGTTCTATCCTGAAGCATGTGAAGTTCAGATATGTGTAAAAACCTGAAACAAAGACAATGCATTTAGAAAAACATAATAAAACTAAGGAAATGGCTTTAGCGAGGCAATTATTTTTCGCTAGAGTAAAGTACTTGTTGAGTAATGAGAGATAATAATCCAATCGAATTTTATTAAATGTTACATGGTAGAAAATGCGTGGTATGGCGTTCGTCAAAACGTAGGTTACACGCAAAATAGATAGTCGGCACAAGTTAAAATAAAACTAAACAATATTACACAATAATAAGTATTGTTACATTTTATAATAACATAGGATTATATTACATTTTAATACATCATTGTAAATTCCATATTATACATATTCAACTGACACCCGTAAATACGATTACATTGACTAAGAGTATGATAGAGATACTATAATATATATTCACAATGGCAGAGTCAGTTTGGGAGCTATTTCTCGTTTATTATGGTATTATGGTTTATTATGGTATTATGGTTTATTATGGTATTATGGTTTATTATGGTTTATTTTGGTTTATAACGTTGGTAACGTATATGGTTTACGATGGTTTATGATGGTTTATTTATATAATGAACGTTTATTATTGTATGGATGGAATATATGGAAACAACTTGAACGTAAATGGAAGTGAATTTTCGTGCAGTATGGCAACAGGTCTAGCGCAGGTCTTTATTTATATAGCCTTTCCCCTCATCTGTGCCACATACAACCTTTCTTTCCCACAGTAACCAAACATTGATCTCCGCATTCTAAATTGTTGATTTATTCACTTATCAAGTATTGATTATGTATTACCATCGTCTGTAATATTTCGTAATAGCATCCCTTCTTCGAAATTACGATGTTTCTTGATTAAATTTGCTGCCTGCCTGAAGTTTCCTTGGAAGATTTCCTTCATGTCATCTGCAAATAAAAATACTAATACATCAATACGAAATGCGTGCATCTATTTAAATCTACTGTCATGCACGTCGCTTATCAATAAACTGATAATTATTGGTAGCTCTACGAATACGAGACGTATCTGGACATCAATTCACTAAAGCCACATCCTTAATCAAAACGCTCTCGAAATAAAAATGATTTCAAAAATGAATCTTTAATGAAGGCAGTAACTTTTTATAAGAGAACGAGACTGTTCAATAATAATCGCATGTAAAATTTAGTGGCGTAACCAATGGAAATATGCGTGGAGCACATTTCTCACAATTTTTCCACTAGCTTACAAACACATCTAATATCGCATTCGGTAGTTTACAACAACATCGAATAACGCAATAATCTTTTTCATTAATAAATTACTTTTTTATTATTCCACGTAATATTAACATTCAACCGTTCATGCTGGCAAACTGGCCGACCGACCGACAAACGCCGTAGCTAGCGGAGGTAAGAGAGGCAGTTGCCCCCAAAGTAATTTAGAAACATTGTATGGTCAATGCCGTCCCCCTCAAAGGTCACCTCCTAGATTGCACGGGGCTTTGCTCTGTCAGGAAAAATGGATTTGCTACGCTTCCACCGACAACCTACCGAGTCGTTGTCTGGCTGGCTGGCTGCCATTAAATAATCCGTGCAGCTGAGTGCGGTTTATTGAACCAGATAATTTCAGGTTACCTACCTAGCTAGCTAGCTTCATTGCATGCGATTTACGAATCAGAAAGAGTTTGTAAGAACAGGCAAAGACAGAAATTATTGAACACACGCATATGCATGCATGAACGCACGGACACACACACACACACACACACACACACACACACACACACACACACACACACACACACGCGCGCACGTACGCACGCATGCGCACACACACGCACGCACACACGCACGCACACACACGCACGCGCGCGCGCACGCAGAGAGAGATGATTGAGTAGGGGTAAGATGGTGGATAAAAACAATGAGATAAAGAAAGGTAAAACAAAAGGTGGACCGTATGGATAAGCAGAGTAAGTGGAAATATTAGACGAAAAGTAGAGTGGAGAAGTGTGGAAAAGGGGGAGCTGTGTAAAGGGAAGAGAAAGGGGTGCGCGGGAAGAAAGAAGAATAAACGACGTACAGCAGGGAGAACGCAAAGAAGTGGGAGAGGAACAAGGAGAAAAAGAAGAGGAAGAGGATAAAGAAGAAGAAGAAGAAGAAGAAGAAGAAGAAGAAGAAGAAGAAGAAGAAGAAGAAGAAGACGACGACAAAGAATGGTGGATGGGGTAAACTGTAGATGCGACGTACGTATAGGGGGAGTAGAGGAGTCTGGATGTTTCAGTAAGCAAGCCATTGCCAATTCTGTCGATAACTTGTCGGGATTAGCCCTATATTGCATGTTAAAGTTATTTATAATTGATCCACGGATGCATGTGCGTCTGCATACATCACCAATAAGTTTAAAATGCACTATACGTCTTGCGGGAATTAATCACCATGTACCATTAACTATTCACGAATATCCGCATTTCGCTTTGAATTTTCTATCATCTATATTCAATCGTGAGGTACGTTTATGCATTTAAGCTCATTTATTTATTATCCGGTATACGCGACAGTCCAACGCATCATGTAAAATAATCATCATCATCAAGAGTAAGCCCCTGCTAACGCAGAATACGCTCACCGCAGTGGTTGTATCAGCCCGATGTATCAGCACTGTGTATGAACCATGTATACGTGCACGTGAACACACACAATATACATACACACGCACAGGTTATGGTTGACAAGAATATTAATCCAGAGGCGCGTTGCCAGAGGTATGAATCGGTTGTGAAGTAGATTAGTTTGTTTAGATTGTTTCATGATCCCCAAGGAGATTTGTTTCGCATCGAGTACGATAAGATTTTGCAGAGACCGAGGGCCATGGGAAGAATTAAGGACACCGGATACGTAGCACTAACAACTCAGATAACAGCAAGATGAATATCCTTTGTGCGCGAAACCGACAGAAATTCAAGGGCATTTCGCGTAAAACAGCAATATCTTTTTGCTAGCAGTATTGTCATTGTACGACGATGAATTTTAGTTGATCAGGTCTTCGATTAGCATACTTCGATTTCAGCGAGTATTCTGCCGGCCGCGATCTGACGGTAAGCTTATTTATTTACTTACTTATTTATTTATTTTTGTCTCGCAGGTCGACCTATCGCGACAAGACTCAGAGAGAGACAGAGTACCGTACAGAACTCTGATCGATACAAACGCGTATAGTCTTTGCATTAACGTCTTACTTGCGATTACACAATAGTAAAAATGCCTAGCTGGTCGAATTGTGCGGAGAGTAAAGGTAAAAAACTTGTGAAGTTTTGAATAACCCGCAGAAGTAACTGGATAGAGTAGCTGGCAAGGTTTAGGAGACTTTTAGCACTATAATCTCTTATGGTTTTTCTCTTACTTTGAACGCGATGATGGACTTATGTAGTTAACACTCATATTTACAATGGCTTAGCACAAAATTTTCTTCAACATCATCAACTTGCAGCCTTGGCCGAGAGTACCCGCACAACAGTCATCTAGCACTCATAGTCATTCATAGGAATTTCCTTAGAAGGGGGTGTAGGGGGATTGACTCCTCCGAACCAATAAAAATTAGTACTTCACTTCGGATTCAGTTGTCTACTCTCACGGACTTTCTTATTGCATTATTATTTTATTTTATTATTGTATTATTGTATTATTATATTATATTATATTTATACTGTATTTATGTTTATGTTTATGTTTATGTTTTATGTATTTGTATTGTATTTATATTGTATTATTGTATTATTGTATTATTATTTATGTAGCTATTATTGTTGGAACACCATCTGTAGTAAAACGTATCATAACGTCAGGAGTGAATAATAATAGATCCCTATACTATGGATCTATAGATAATAGATCTATAGATAATAGATCTGTAAATAATAGATCTATAGATAATAGATCTATAGATAATAGATCTATAGATAATAGATCTATAGATAATAGATCTATAGATAATATATCTATAGATAATAGATCTATAGATAATAGATCTATAGATAATAGATCTATAGATAATAGATCTATAGATAATAGATC